ATAAATAATATTGATAAATTTCATTATATATAGTATAACATAATTCTACATAAGTTCAAACATTTTAGACTAGTATAAAGCATGCATATACATATACATCTTTATAAATAGCTATCATTATATGTAAAATATTCTTTATAACATTATATATTAAATATATAAAATTCTAATATTTTGAATATATTGTTAAATTTTTTATTTGTTTTTTAAATTTTTTAATATAAGTAAGTTATTATTCAATACATAGAATATCTAATATAAAAGAATATAAAAATATTTTTTATATATATATAAATATATATAATATTTATAATTTTATTAATTATATGTTTCTTATATTATTAGATTATTTATAATTTTATTCGTGTAATATACGTACATATTTAAATCATAAAAATCATTTTTCGTAAAAATTTTAGTAATTCATAAATTCGCGCAGGCGCACATATAAAAATATTGCGTTGCATCGCCATTCTATTAGTCAAACAAGATCCGGCAGTATTTCATCTGTTCAAAGTGTAATGTGTTTTAGTACAATTTGCCGGTTATAATAGTTTTCATAAGATCATTGTGCATAATTTGATAAATAATCATGTATAATAAAAAAAAATATTACGGAATAAAAATTTTTATAATTAGTTATTTTATTGAACAATTAAAAAAAGAAATTATGTGACAATAGTGCGATTAAAAATTGATTAAAAAAAATGTCATATTATATTGATAAATAATACATTAAATAAGCTCAAAATGCTTTTAAAATCTTCGCATGAAACATATTAATATGATATATATCAATTGATCGAAATAATACATTCAGAATCTGTAAGATTTCATGTAACCATGTGGGATCATATCATACTGCGAATCTTTGAATATCACAACATTCTTCGTTGCAGGGCAAAATACTGTTAATTATGATAATACAATTGTTATATGTACATATACAGGTTCATCCTGCAAAAGAATATAAAAATCATCGTAGTCAAGTGAATTAGTCACGTGATGAGTTCAAAAGTTGAACGACTGTATTTTTTAACTGTGATACATGAGTCATTTAGATACATACATCGAAAAAGTTAAATATAAAAAAATTATTATTTCAGAATAATAAATGATTGTGTTTTTTTTATTCCAAAGATATATAGCGAAATTATTAATCAATGAATTTATTGTTAAAATTTAATAATAATGCATTTAAATTAATTGCATATCTATAATACATTTAAATCTAATATAAAGAAAAAAGATAATAACAAAATATATAATAAGTGAAAATATAATAAAATATATTTACCAATAATTTCGTGCCAAATTTATATGAAAAATGTTTGGTACAACAACTCTAGTGAGCAGGTCATTCCTAACAATTTTGATATTATTGACATTATACTTTCTTGGAATGGACCTTTTGTTGTATTCTAGAATACAAAATTATGATGTAAGACCTACATTAAATGGTACACCATATATTTCAATCATACCTTGTGATTTTAATCCATTATGTACAGTGACTGTAAAAGGATTAATGCTTGATCATCCAAATCATTTTCTTCTGAGCCCTCTTGCAGCTATCATGGATGATTTATTGCAAATAAGTAGCTCTTGGATATGGGTGACACCAAATGCAATCAGTTGTTTTCATATATTCATAGCAGTGGCAGCTGGTAAATGTGTATCAAGTGATTCGTTATCTTATAGACGCTTAGGTGTAATAATTTTTCAAGCAAGGACATGGTTGGATGATTTAGATGGACATGTTGCTAGAAAAAGAGCAAAGATTAATGGTGAACGATCAGATATTGGTTCAACTGGTTATATTATTGATGGTATCTGTGATGGTTTGGGTTGTGTTGCTTTTATTATTGGCCTATATCAATTTCTTGCCCGTAACTCAAGTAGACGTGGAGGTTATGATAAGCTGCCTCAACTTCCTGTATCTTCAGTTCTGGAACCTGGAAATGTAACATTGAAAACATCAAATGCAGCATTTCGTAATATATTACTTATGACCGTCCATTTGTTCCTCACCAGTGCCGCCTGGAATCGATATATATCTTTATACCAGGATCTTCTTGAGACTGATTATAGAACACCATCAATTAGTAGAGAACATCTTTATGATAGACAAACAACTATATTCAGAAGTTCATCTTTTTCAGTAATAGCTTT